GATTTATTCAGCAGTGGTACTGGACCAAATCCGACAGGCCGATACCTGACAATGCTTTCTAGTTCTGGTCGGATAATTTTATTAATTCGTAAACTTTTGAGCAAACAAAGTAGGAGATGCAATGATCTCTCCACGAAAATATCAATGAGTTTAGCAATTCTACCATGAAAAGAAGGCTGGCTTTGGATAGGTCAAATAATATTCATTTGCACAAGCAACTTTACCCTCAGAGTTCTTTTGGTATTTTCCTTCGTATTATTCCAAGGAAGGCTTGAGATCTTAAATTCATATACTCATGGCCAATTGTGGATCTAGATATCAGTCAGTCATTCCTGTAAATAATCAGAACTCCTATCAGGTGCTTAGAATAGCACACCTGGGACTGAGGTTCCCTGGTAAGTGAAGCCCTGTCAAAGCTGCCAGCCTATATTCTTTTGTCCTTAGTCAAGCGTCCTCATTATCCATAACCACATGCATTCCTGAGATTTTATCCTTATTAATTACCTGAATCATGCAGTTACTTTGGGGTATAAATATTTGATTTGATATTCAATATTAGATTTGACCTTACAATTGTTCCTTATCCCCAATGCATTACAACAGCTCCATCTAGTAATAGGTAGGAAGATGAGGGGGTAAGGAATCGAACATGGGAAAAAGTATGTATTAACTATGGTCCCCATATTCAGGAATCTGCTACTGTAAACATTACTTGAATAATTATGTCTAGTTTTATGCTTTCTCATTTTGTATTTGTTAGTGCAAATCTGATAGTGATACTCCTGCTAAAATCTTCCGACATCTTCTTTTGAACAACCTCACCCAAGTTTTGCACACTTTAGACCAAAGTATGTAAGACCAGATAGTTAAGGCAGTTATGTGTGGGCTGTGTGTTGGGGTAGATAATACCCTGATTTACAGATTTATCTCTTACAAATTGAGATTCGGATTAAAGAAACAACACTGCACTTTGTCTAACTCTGTTGGAGGGTATGACAAGTACCATAGGCCGGATGGCTTAAATAACAAATGTTAAAGCAGATAGTTAGTGAGGCTCAAAGTGGATGCCTGGAGGCCAGCAAGGAGGAGGCCACGGCCGGCTGTGGGGAAGGTCAGGGGCTGTCCGGAGCAGCCTCCGCGAGAAGCCGGATCCCACCAGACAGCCCCAAGATGGTGGTGCCAGGACCGGAAACCCCTGAGCCGGTGAAGAGACCCTGCTTCCGGCCCCCAGTAATGACTATTCTGCCTCCTCGTTAACAACTGTCCAAAAAAGACAGAAACCCAGTCTCTGGGGGACACAGCTCTCTCTTTCCCTCTTGAGCCGCCTGCTCTCATATCTCGAGAGTGTAACTTTTCACTTTGATAAATTTCCGGCTTCTGTCACGTGTCCCCTGTGTACATGTCTGTCCTTGAACCCCTCCTTAGCACAAGAAAGAGAACCTTTTGTGGACTCCTTTGGTTCTGGCTGAGTCAAGGCCCTAGGGCCCAGGGTCTCCCCAGTTCACCCAGCCACTCAGTTATTTCTCACAGTTCCGGAGTCTGGGAAGTACAGATTCAGTGTCTGCTCGGGACCTGTCTCCTGGCTTGTAGGGGTCCCCATCTCCCCGTGTGCTCACGTGATTTGTTTGTGGGCTGGGGCGGGGGAAGGTGTTCTGGTCTCTTATTAAGAGTGCTAATCTCAAATCTCATCATGGGGATTCTGCCCTTAAAACCTCTCTTTAATGGCTCACTCTCCTCTCGTCTGGGCCTCAACTATTCATTTCGGAGCTTTCACCATTAAATGCTGCAAAGCTGGATTTTTTTTCCCAGTAGTGGATACGTGAAGTGATTTGCTGCATCTGGAGAACGGACAGCAGGCCAGTGGAAGAAAGCTCCTCTCAGAGTCCTTACAATTGTTTATGTCACCTTCCATTTGCAAGGATGTAAACATATAAGATTCTTACAGGAGGATATAACCTTACTAAAGATTTTCAGAAAGTCTGTAGATTTTCTCATTTCTCTAAAAAGAAAACACATCCCTTTTGAATTCCCCAATGAAAGTAGTAAAAAGTAAGTTTTTCAAATACCATCATTGACATAACTTTGATACTTATATTCATGTTAATGTATGTCAGAGACATAAAAATGTCCAAAGTCCGTCCCCCACCCCCCCACCCCCCACCCCCACCAGGAATGGCTTGCAGCCCAGCTGCAGAGTGACTGTGGTCTGGAGCTGGGCAGCCGCTGAGCTCCCTACCGCCCCACTCCAGGTCACACCCTTGTCCATGGCAGCCCACAGTACGGACAGAGCAAAGTGAGGCTATAAAGACTGGCCCAGGGGAGTTTTTGCCTGACATGGGGCATCACTGGTAGGCAACCCAGGCATCAGAGCTCCCACATTTGTCTGCCTTGTAGCACAGTCTGCCATCCTCTTCTGTCCCATCCTTGTTCCTCTTCCTCCGTTCACAGCTGTTGGCCCCTAATCACATTTTGTGCCCCAAACTCCATCAGGGCATCTGCTCCCAGAGGACATGACCTGTGTGGCTATGCTACCATAATCTTTTTCCTGGGTCTCCTACGTTTTACTCTTGTTTTATTCAATAGGGCTTCTGCACACAAAGACTAGGAGTAGTGTAAGGGCCCAGGGCAGGCTGTCCTAAAGTGTATCACAATGGCACAGTGATTATCTTGAATGGGAGCTACTTGGGAAACTGCAGGCGCAAGGACATCACACTGAAAGCAGGAAATAAATCTCCTCTATTCAAGTCACCCTCCCAGGGCTGAGATGTAAGATATCCTTATCACCAGAGATAGGAAATCGAGAGCCAAGAAAGCTGTAGAAACAAACTTTACTTCTTTACTAATCTACTACTTAAACCCAACTTTTAATTAGAATTTCTAACTAATTCAGGCTCCCAAATATCTGTTTTCTTTATCCTGTCAAATCCTCACAATTTTTTTTCCTCTTTGTCTAAAATGTATAAAAACTGCCTGCTTTGATCATTCTTTCAGGTGTCAATTTCATTACTGGACCTCTCCATGCACACTATAAATTTTTTTTCTCCTGTTAATCTGTTTCCTGTCAATTTAATTCTTAGTCCTGCTAGAAGGAACTCGGACAGAGGAAATTTTCTCCCTTCCATTCAGTAGCAAATAAATCTGTGCGTATTGAAGTATAAAGTGTGAGCTCCTAGCTCTTTGTGAGCTATATGATAAAGTTAGTTTTACTTTTAGTATCTTTTTTTTTTTTTTTGGTTTGGTTTTAAAATGGGTTGGAGTCCATAGATTTTCACATCTACCTGATTTGTATTATCAAATTTATTACCTCAGAGCTCAGGATTGCTGTTGTTTCTGAACACTCATACACATTAATTTACATACCCTACAAAGTCCTATATTGTGCTGCCACCTCCTGCTTTTCCATCATAGCCTTCAGAGCCTGCAGGCTGTTTCCACATGCTTTCTGTCTTAAGGCCTTTGCATTTTCAGTTCCCTCTACTTGGAATTCTCCTCCCCTAATACCTACCTGGCTCCTCTCTTTTGATTTATGTAGGTCTCTGATCAGTTACCCTTTATCTAAAGTAGGAGTCCCCCTTATGCTCTGTAGCTTCTCTCTTTTCTTCATAGGATACTTATCACCTTACCTATTTATGTTTGTCTCCCCTGCTGGAAGTTGCTCCCAGAGGCAGATATTCTAGATTGCACCCACTGTTGTGTCCTGAGCTGAGTGAATTAAGCAAATACATGTGTTCCAAAGAAATAGGACCAAGGATTTACTAACGTGGGCTTCAGTACATTCTGTGTATCTTTAATCAATATCAGACTAACTCCCTTCAGAGTGAAATCCTAAAGAAAATGGAAACGGCCACTAACAATTACAACATCTGGTGAAGATTATAGTTAGACCACTTAAGTCAAGCGGTCCTTTCTGAGAACTCTACTATACTCAGATTGCTTAGATTATCCTGGGACAATAGTCAATGCATTCTAGCTTTACTTTTGGCTGCTTAAAACCAGTAATTGATAAGACCCTCATTAAAATGGGCTCAGAGACTTGCCCGTTTGGCTCCTTTTCTAAGTATATAGCAAACTTTCCTGAGCCTCTTTGCCTCCTCCCTGAACGATCTTCAAGTTAGCCTTCCTGTAGGTCTGACTACGTCTAGAATTACCAGTCGGGTTGCTCCTCCTAAAACACTTGACGGTATTACTCACCCCCACAAAACCAAAGTGCAGATCAAGTGTATCAGCTTTTTCTTTGAAATGGTAGGTGGCTCTGAAAAGAGCCTTTGGTTTTCAATGTCCCTAACCTCGCTCCTCCTTATTTGGTCTTGTGGTGGCTCTCGGTCTTCTTGGGCAGCAGCACGGCCTGGATGTTGGGCAGCACGCCGCCCTGCGCGATGGTGACGCGGCCCAGCAGCTTGTTGAGCTCCTCGTCGTTGCGGATGGCCAGCTGCAGGTGGCGCGGGATGATGCGCGTCTTCTTGTTGTCGCGCGCCGCGTTGCCCGCCAGCTCCAGGATCTCGGCCGTCAGGTACTCGAGCACGGCCGCCAGGTACACCGGCGCGCCGGCCCCGACCCGCTCCGAGTAGTTGCCCTTGCGGAGCAGGCGGTGCACGCGGCCCACCGGGAACTGCAGGCCCGCCCGCGACGAGCGCGTCTTGGCCTTGGCGCGCGCCTTGCCGCCCTGCTTCCCGCGTCCAGACATAGCAAGTCCAACCACACTGGAAGGAACTGCCGAGACTGAAGGCCCACCCGAGCACTCTTTATAACCCCCGTTGAGCGCGAAAAAGAAGGCTTCTCATTGGTTAAGATTGCAGCTTCTTTTTAACCAATGGAAGTGCAGCTCTGGGATCCTTGCATTCTGATTGGGCAGCACTAACTTCTGACGTTGCCTTGAATGGCCACCAATCAGACACAGGACCGTAATTTACACCTTATTTGCATAAGGTTTCTGTATAAAAGGAACTAGTCGCACTAGGCTCACATTCTTTTTTTCATTTTTTCTCTTTCACCTCAGCGTTTTGGGCATTTTTTCCGAATCATGCCTGAGCCCGCCAAGTCGGCGCCGGCCCCGAAGAAGGGCTCCAAGAAGGCGGTGACCAAGGCGCAGAAGAAGGACGGCAAGAAGCGCAAACGCAGCCGCAAGGAGAGCTACTCGGTGTACGTGTACAAGGTGCTGAAGCAGGTGCACCCCGACACGGGTATCTCGTCCAAGGCCATGGGCATCATGAACTCGTTCGTCAACGACATCTTCGAGCGCATCGCGGGCGAGGCGTCCCGCCTGGCGCACTACAACAAGCGCTCGACCATCACGTCCAGGGAGATCCAGACGGCCGTGCGCCTGCTGCTGCCCGGGGAGCTGGCCAAGCACGCCGTGTCCGAGGGCACCAAGGCCGTCACCAAGTACACCAGCGCCAAGTAACCTCGTCAAGTAAGCACATTTAGACTTAACCCAAAGGCTCTTTTCAGAGCCACTAAGTTGTCGGTGAAAGAGCTGCAAATACTTGGCCGGGATCGAGGCTTCAGTTCCAGGCAGTTACCCCGAGGCGGCTGTGCGGATTCCATTGCTCTGAGTAACGCGCGCTGTGTTCGTAACTGCCTTTGGCCGGAAGGAACCGATGTACCGCGCGGCGTCTGTCGCCGTATGTTGTAAGCCGGAACCTTAAGGGACGTTAACGCGAGTGTGTACTGTGTGTGAGCACAAAGAATTCCTATCTCTGGCGTGAAAGCGTATCCTTTGGTTGTGTGCGAGAGTGGCTTCCTGTTTAAATCCTAACAGCCTGGGTCTTGTGGCCTTTCTCCGTTGCTGTTCCAGTTTGCGTTTATGTATTAGTAAATTTAGACCCCAGTGATTAACCAAAATCCGCCTTGTCGCTCAGCCGCCATCTCCTGTCCCAGGCGGTTGCAATGGCCGAAGGGGCATTAAGTTGACAGAGCGTTGCTCTCCTCAAGCTTTAAAAAGTTGGCCTCTCCAGCCCGCAAGGGATCGGGAGCCTGGCAGACCATCGTGGGGTGGGGAGGGGGGAAGGTCTGCAAGTAGACAGCTTTTCTCCCGAATAAAAAAAATGGAATACTGGAGCTCACAAAAAAAGATACGCGGCTAGTTTACTAGTTTGTTATACATATGGCTAGAGAGCTAATAAGTGGTAGGTGGTATAATGGGGAAAAACAAGGACACATAACAAGTGGAATCCTGTGCCTCTGGTAATTTGAGCAAATTAAAGTCTGTGCAACTGTTTGCCTATTTGTACAAGAACATTGATCTGAACTTTGTGATTTCAGCTGCTAAATTCTGTGCTCTCCAGAGCCAGTATGAAATCTGTGTGAACAGAGTGAGAGAATAAGTGACTTTCTCAGTCCCAGTCAGACTTACTGTAGAAAAGACTGGAATAATTGGATCAGATTGGGATAGAGGCACATCTTGTACCTGTCCAGAAGCTCTCCTCAGTTCTGCACCATAGAAAGGACCAGGACTGCAACCCACTCTCTGTGATGGCTTCTCTAGCTACCCAGAGAATGGTTAAAAATATTACAGGTTTGGGTTATAGAATATAACATTTGTGACTTGGTTGACTTGGCTGTCAGCACATATATTTTGCCAATTTAAAATAATAAAATCTATCTCAGAAGATTATTACATAAGAATCCATGGAAAGCATTTAGCACAAATTTGAATTAACTTATTATAGGCATGGTTTCTTCTCTTTCACTCTACCTTTGTCTGTTACAGTGCCTTGCAAATTTTAGGCTTTTGGTTAATCAATCATTGCTTATTAAAATAGGAAGACCAGTCTGTTATCAGTAATTTCAGAAAAGCCTTACTCTCCAGCCCAAATGAGATAAGCAGCCTCAATTTTTTGGTCTACTTATGCCTGCAGTTCTTTGGCGAATTAAGGGAGATGGAAATAACCCCTATATGAACAGGCATCATTTGCAAAAACTACTGAAACTATAAACCCAACATTATTAAACATGACTCCAAAATAGCCAAAAAGCTTGTAAGAAACTAAACAACTTCATTATAACCAGAGAAATGCAACTTAAATACATGAGATTTAGTTTAGCAAATGTGAACTGGCAGAAAATTAGTCTGCACTAGTGAAATGTTGAAGATGGGGAGTAACAGGAACTCAGTACTTGTGGAGTATGGAGGTATAAAACAAAAAAAATAACCCTGGAACACAAGTTGCTCATTTCATGTTCAAAATGCAGATCCCCTTACTAAGCAACGCCCCTCCTAGATCTGCACAGAGAAGGGTACAGCTGTGTACAACGCCCATAGCAGTGTGATTTGTAATGGGAAATACAGCAATTTAAAAACTTCCAGCATAGAGATGCCTACTTAAAAATGTTTTACCTAGGTCCTACAGTGTAGAGGAGCAATACATTTTCAAGACCCTTGCTAGAGCTCCCTGCAGCTCCGTTTAACCAATCACCGCATTTTTTAAGGTGACTGATGTGTGGATCTTATCCCTTTGCTTATACCCTTCACCCTGACATTAAGGTCTAAATTCAAAAGAACAGAAAATTAGTGTTGGGTGCGGCCCTTTAGATCTAAGACCTCCACAGTCTTGAGACTTTGGGTTAGACTAATGATCCAGAATCTACCAGATTCCCTGCGATTCCTATGTCGTAGCGAAGAAAGGTTGGTCAGCAGGAATTCAGGTCAGCAAAGTCAGAGTACCTGGGCCTCTGGTCACTTTGTTGGCATTAAGAACTACCCCAAGACGGCTTTAAAAGCTTACACAGCGGCTCTACCGAAATGACCCATTTGTAGCCAAGTACTAAAGCTCTTCCAGGGAAAACTTGGGGGCCCTAAAAAGGGCCTTTTTGGTGAGTAACAGGAATCCAAGGTTACTTTGGTCTTTAGCCCCCAAAGCCGTAGAGGGTGCGGCCCTGGCGCTTGAGCGCGTAGACCACGTCCATGGCCGTGACCGTCTTGCGCTTGGCGTGCTCCGTGTAGGTGACGGCGTCGCGGATCACGTTCTCCAGGAACACCTTGAGCACCCCGCGGGTCTCCTCGTAGATGAGGCCGGAGATGCGCTTGACGCCGCCGCGCCGGGCCAGCCGCCGGATGGCGGGCTTGGTGATGCCCTGGATGTTGTCGCGCAGCACCTTGCGGTGGCGCTTGGCGCCCCCCTTGCCCAGGCCCTTCCCGCCCTTGCCACGACCAGACATCCTCGCAAGCGTGAAAGCAGAAAACTGCCTCCAGGCCGCGCAGCTCCTTTTTATCGGTAACCTCTGCGGACCGGAGTGAAAACCGGAAGACTGTGGCGGGAAGTCCCTCTGGGTTGGAGGAGGGGATCTGGAAAGGAACAGCCTGCTGCTAGGGTGCTTGCTTTTGTTCACCGAGTGTAGCCTCAAGACCTAAGGCTCTTTGTTTCTTCTTTTCTCTTGTCCCACCCTCATGAAACAACACAACTTTAACACTGTAGAGGATACGTTTGAAAAAGAATAAAATATGCTGTTTTTATCTGCATATATATGCATGCATTTTCTTTTACTAACAGTATTTGCATTAGCTTATACCATTTTGTAAAGGTTTTTCTCCTTGTTATGGGGGGGGGGGGAGGATATGTTCCAAACACTAACTTCCTAGAAGTGGAACACGATGTGCTAATAGAATAGAGAATTTAAAGATCTTCCAGGGATATGGTTAAATTCTCTTCCACTGCCAAAGGGCTACCAATTTTCATTTTCAAAAACAGTTATTATATTTTACTCATAATGAGTAGAACCATTTAAGAAAATTTTTAAAACTATAATAATCCAGACTTGGTTTCTTGTATAGAGCATTAATTTTTAAAAAGTTAACAGGCTGGCTAATCAGTATAACATATATTTTCTCCACTGGTTTGAGGAAATTGTTTATATATGGAAAAGTTCACTTAAAATTATTTCTTGAATTCTCACTGTTCTGTTGATCAGTCTGTGTGTACTGCTGAAGTATTATAATTATTTGAAACATTGAAAAATATCTTAGTATTTGGCTGTACATTTATTATGGTAAATTTATTAGCTTTGGAATATTGTGCCCTCCTAACCTGAAAAATACTGAATTTCTCCATCATACTAGGTCTTTCAGTGTATCTCAGTAGTGGTCTTTTTTTTTTTTCCTAGATAAATACAATTTTAAAAAAACTTTCTAAAACTTTAATTAACTACAAGAGCAATTAATTTGTCATAAACAAACAAGTAGAAAATTCAAATTCAGGGAAAAGAAACTATACTTTGGTCTAAGAAAAAAAATTTTATTCTTTTTTTAAGATTTTATTTGTTTGTCAGAGAGAGAGAGGGAGCACAAGCAAGGGGAGCAGCAGACAGAGGAAGAAGCAGACTCCCCACTGAGCAGGGAGCCACATATGGGGCTCAATCCCAGGACCCCAGGATTATGACCTGAGCTGAAGGTAGACGCTTAACTGACTGAGCCATCCAGACGCCCCTAAGAAATTCTTTATTAAAAGAATATACTTAGTTAAATATATATAATAAATATAAATACAATGATATACTTAGTTAAATATATGTAGTATAAATACATATACAATATTGCTTAAATTCTGAGAAATTTTAATCACTATTTTCAGAATTAGCATGGAATCCCCTTGTTATCCAATTATTTTCTTGCTATCCTTTATTTCAATGACTTACTTTTAGAGATGTTGCATTACAGTATTTCCAAAGTATTCCATTTAAATTTCATAAAATAACTAAAAAGAATTTCTAAATGTCATTAAAATATTGAGTTTTTTTTCTGCATTTATGTTGCAATAAAAGAAAACTTGCCAAACACTTGAAGAAACAATACTGATTCAGATAGTGGGAGGCAAAATCAGTATATTTTAATAGAGGGGAGGGATAGCATAGTTTAGTTTAAGGGCAAATACAAATGGAAGATAAGAGACTGACTTTTCTCTGAAGGTCCCTCTATTCCCTTTTTCTCTTTCAGAATTTCTTTCTCTATCCTTTCCAAATGTACGTAAATCCTTCTGATGGGTAAATAAGCCTTTGGCCAGCCTCTTAACTCAGGAACTTTCCTCAAGGATCTTTGACTCCTTTACTTTGAAATGTAATCATCAAGGAAAACAGTACTCTACTTGCCAGTTTCTTGAAAAGGAAATTTAACTTCAGCTGGTATCTGAGACTACATTGCAAATCCTACCTGAAATAAAGGTTTGTATCCGATTAGCTCTAAAAAAAGTGAGATTTCTTTGTCTTTGCCATCTCTTTAGAAGATTGCCAGTGATGAGCCTAATATTCTGGCTTTATGCTTATTGAACAATAAAATTGTTTTCTTGGGGCACCTGGGTGGCTCAGTCTTTAGGCATCTGCCTTCAGCTCACGTAATGATTCCAGGGTCCTTGGACGGAGACCCGCATCAGGCTCCCTGCTCCGAGGAAAGCCTGCTTTCTCCCTCCCCCACTCCCCCTGCTTGAGCTCTCTCTCTATGTCTCTCTTTGTCAAATAAATAAGTAAAATCTTAAAAAAAACTTTTTTTTCCTTATATTTCCCCAACATTAGTTGATTGAAATACCTTTTACAGACCTTACTCTCTCTACTTTAAAAATCAGTAAAATTCCCACCAACCAGTAGCCTCCCTCTTCATCTGATTTAATGGATACTTGCATAACACTAGTCATGATAGAAGGTAGCAATGGATGGATATCTGAAAAGTTGGTCAGGCTCTTTTTATAGTTTCTGAAATTAATAGCCAAAGGCATTTATTTATTTATAAACCTACAGTATATTATTTTGTAAAAATACAAAGCTTTTTCTTTTTCTTTTTTAAAAGATTTCATTTTATTTATTTGACACAGAAAGACACAGCAAGAGAGGGAACACAAGCAGGGGCAGTGAGAGCGGAAGAAGCAGGCTCTCCACTGAGGAAGGAGACCGACATGGGGCTCCATCCCAGAACCCTGAGATCGTGACCTGAGCCAAGGCAGCCGCTTAACCGACTGAGCCACCCAGGTACCCCTTAACCAAATTTTCTTTTCTTTTCTTTTTTTAAAAGATTTTATTTATTTATTTGACAGACAGAGATCACAAGCAGGCAGAGAGGCAGGCAGGGGTGGGGGGAGCAGGTTCCCTGCTGAGCAGAGAGCCCGATGTGGGGCTCGATCCCAGGACCCTGGGATCATGACCTGAGCCGAAGGCAGAGGCTTTAACCTACTGAGCCACCCAGGTGCCCCCTTAACCAAATTTTCAATGGAGAATTTGGTTTTCTCATCCTTTGCCAGATGGAATATTGGCAGGAAAGTGACGGACTCCAGGAGGAAAGTGACAATGTCATCTGCTAGGCCCCAAGACCTGACCTTTGCTGCCCACCTGCTTGTACTCATTGATGTTTGTCCCACATAATCCTGAAGCTCTTCTTTCCAGCTGATCTCTTAGCTCCGGCAGCTGACCCCAGGAGCAGTATCCCGTGATGGAAAGTGAACCTACCCTTTAAGCATTAACAACCGACCAGACCACCCAGACCAGTTTGAATTAATCAGGACTCCGACCTGTGCGGGTGGACCAGTGAGTGACCCACGGAGTGACTTACAGTGACCTGTACTTCATTATCATACTAAAATCTGCCCACGGAGCACAAGGCTCATTTCCATAACACACAATGTGAGTCGAGGCATGTTTTTTAAGGCACATGTGAGGCTATGCCTGCCTATACATACAAGGACAAGGCTCATCTTCCTACATATTCACCCTAACCCTACATAAAAGGAACCCATTCACCCTTGCCTGGGGAGTCATGGTTTTGGAAGTTATTCCCTGTGGTCTCCTTATTTGCTGCAGATAAAGTTTCCTTTGTGGGACAACTCACCTGGTGCAGTTTCTTTTTTAAGATTTTATGTATTTGAGAGAGAAGAGAGCCAGGGAGTTGCTGAGGGAGAGGGACAAGCAGACGCCATGCTGAGTGCAAATCCCAGGGCTGGGTGCGATCCCACAACAGGGGATCATGACTTGAGCCAAAATCAAGAGTCGGGCACTTAACTGACTGAGCCACGTGGTGCAGTGTCTATCTGTGATTCCCAGGGGAATGAACTCGCACATGAGTTCCCCTACAATGGTACAGGTTTTCAGTGTTTATTTTGTGTATTATTTCTAAAAAACGGTCGCTGCGGTCAGTGTCTTCCAGTTTGCTTTATTCCACAGGAGAGAAACCAGGCCTCCTAGTCCTCTTTGATTCGGGCTGCAGCCTGCAAATAAATTGATTAGGGACTGTAAGGGGGAAGGAGCAGAATCCAGCCAAGGCAAGGGCAGGTCATCAGGCTAAAGGAAGGACTGGTAACCATCCTTCCCTCCTCTTGCCTCTGTCTCCTCTCCTCCTAATCTCCCTACAACGCCCACATGGTTTTCTTATCATTTCTCTGCACTATTATAAAAAATCCTCACCAAGCCTATGGAACTTGAAATGAGTAGATCATTCAAATTGTCTGTAAGGGATATATGAATATCTACAAATATAGGAAAAAGTGCTCAATTACATTAATCCAGAACATTAGGGGGAAAAAAGCCTTAAAAGTATGGTAAAGAGACAGCTTTCCTTTGTTTAAAACTTTTGTTTAGAAATATTCTGTGTATCATTTAGAAATATAATGCAGATTTCAGATTTTTTTATTAATACAGACCTAATACTGTACTAATAAATACAAATATTAGCATTAGGTATTAAAAGATAGCTTAATAGGCCACCCCAAAATATTCCACTCTGACCTAAGGTTGATTTTGAGCTGAAGGCGTTTGAGATGAAGCAGAGAGAAGAAACGCTCTTTGTCTTTCCGCTTAATCGCCTAAAAGCAGGAAGCAGATTTACAAAGCTGTCCCTCCTTCCCTCTCTACTAGGAGGGACAAAGGTTAATCCCAGTGTCTGGGTGGGCAGTTAATTTAGGCTCTAACGGGATGCGGGCCATCAAGGAGGAGGCCACGGCGGCTGTGCGGCAGATCAGAGGCAGGTCCGGGCAGCGTGAGAAGCCGGATCCCACCAGACAGGCCCAAGATGGCGGCGCCACGACCGGTAACCCCAGACCGGGTGAAGAAACCCTGCTTCCGGCCTCAAGTAATGACTATTCTGCCCGCTGGTTAACAACTGTCAGTGAAAGAAACCCTAACTCCAGGACGCATGGTTCTTCCTTTTGAGCTCACCATGCTCTCTCACATCCTGAGTGTTCTTTGGTTTCAATAAACTTTCCTGCTTGTACCTCTCATACACTCTGTTGCGTCTGCCCTTGAATTCTTTCTCGTGAGGAGATCAAGAGCCTTCAGCGACATCTTTGATATAGGTTGGGTCCAGACCTCAGGGCCCAGGTCTCCCAGTTCACCCAGCAACACCAGTAGGCAGCTTTAGACCTTTATCAGTGGAGAGGGCCCCAACTTAAATCTGCCTAACAAACTTGATTCTTGTTTTCCTGGTAAGCTTCCCATAACTAACTTCCCCTCACCTTTTGTGCTAGGCTTATAAGGGCCGAGGGTAGGAAGCCCCAAAGATGGGCCTTTTTGCTGAAATTATTCTGAGCTGAAGACAATAAAGACCCTGTGGGCTCAAGAGAAACTTTTGTCCCTCCCATAGGTACCTAGAAAAATCTAAATTGGGGTCATTCCCAGAAGAGGGTTATTAACAGAGGTAAACGTTTTCCGAGGGACCAATCTCTTGTGGAGGCAAAAAAAACCAAGGCTGTACCCACCTCAAGTCTAGTCTTGACATCAAGTACATCCATCTTGGCCCCAGCAGCCATCTTTGGCCTTCATGAGGGGTAAAGGACCCCTGGCTCCAGGAAGACTGACCAAGTTTTGAAAACAAAACACCATACCAAAAACTAATTAGGAATAGGATAGCGTAACGAGGTAATAAGTCATGTCAGGAGTAGGATAGCTTGACGTTGTAATAAATCATGTCAGAAATAGGACAACTTAACACTGTAAAAAATCACAAGAACATAGGGATGCGATTGTGGCCCAATCACCTACTGCCAAATCCACCCCTACTCAGTCTTTAAAAACTCTGACTGTAATCTGTTTCAGGGTCCAAGCCCCTACTCTGCTGCGTCGGGTATACTTGGGCCCAAGCTTAAGCATGTCACCTCGGGGTCCAAGTCCCTACTCCGCTGTGTCGGGTATACTTGGGCCCAAGCTTAATCTTGTCAAATAAACCCTCGTGTGATTACATCAGTGTTGGCTCCTCGGTAGTCTCTCAGACGTGAAAATTTGGGCATAACATCTCTATGGCAGGGCAAACATGTAATTACGGAACACCCGCCCTTCTTACTACCTCATGAAGGTCATCCCTTCCCTCCAAAATCCCAGATGCCATCTTAGTTCAGAATGAGATATATACCTTCTTTTGCCTGTCTTTGGAATTTCCAGGTCTGTGTGGATTCCCTGTACAAATGCTATTAAATTAGACTTTTCTCCTGTTAATCTTTCTCAAGTCACTTGGATTCTTAGTCCAGCTGGAAGGACCCTTGAAGGGGACAGGAATTCTTGCTCCCTGACAAGCGGAAGACAGTATTTAAATGGTATTTTTAAGGCACCTTGGGGGTTCCTGGTTGTCTGCAGTGTGGCTCCCATATGTACACGAGGTACACATGTTAGAAAGGAGACAGCAAGCCCCACATGGAGTCACTTGAGTAAACCCCACATCAGCAAACCAAGATTTAATACCTAATCTCGTCACAATCTCACTCCCCTGGAGTCCCACTGCCATCCCCCGAATGTAACCTTTAGCCAAGTGCAATTAACCTAGTCTGCTAGTGATATAATCCACCCAATAGGCCCGCCCCTTTAGAAAGATGACCTTGCCTGAAACAATGCATTCTTAGCTGCTAATAGTTTCTTTTTTTCTGCCACCTTTCACCTTTAAAAGCCTTTTCTTTTCTATAGCTCCCCAGAATGCCTTTCTATTGCCTGGTGGGATGCTACCTGCCCTGTGAATCATTGAATAAAGCCAATTTGACTTTTAAATTTACTCAGTTGAATTTTTGTTCTTTAGCAATGTTAATAAAAGTCTGTGTTTTTCTCTTGGGAAAACTGTCTTTTATTACAGGGATCTCAGCCGAATACTCAGAAGAGTAGAGGAAAAGTCATTTTTCTTTCCCTAAAATTGGAAGACATATTTAAGGACAGAACAATTGAATAATGAGTAAAATCATTTGGGTCACACAGCTTCTAAAAAGCCCCTCAAAAAGTCAAATATCGGGGCGCCTGGGTGGTTCAGTAGGTTAAAGCCTCTGCCTTTGGCTCAGGTCATGATCCCAGGGTCCTGGGATTGAGCCCCGCATCGGGCTCTCTGTTCAGCGGGGAGCCTGCTTCCTCCTCTCACTCTCCCTGCCTCTCCGCCTGCTTGTGATCTCTCTCTCTCTCTGTGTCAAATAAATAAATAAAATAAAATCTTAAAAAAAAAAAGTCAAATATCTTACTATGGGAGGGGGTGCATCTGAGTGCCTGTCATTGTTAGATACTGTCATCAGTGTTCATTTTCGTTCCAAAAAGTCATATTTACACTAGGACTAGAAGTAGTTTTACCTAAAAAAAAAGTTATGTTTTAAGTACAAGAAATAGGAACAATGGTATGAATATTAATATGACATATTAATAGACTTTGTTAAAGAAATCCCATATAGGAAGGGGTGCTTTCAGGGATAAATTGTAATTAGGCTGAAAAGTCACGGGTAAGTCAACCAAATTTTACAACAAGGGTTTTTAAGCTGAAGTCCATATACGCCACAATACCTCCAAGGATAAAAATCGGCAGTGCATGGTGGGGGGGTGCGTGGTAGTGAGGTGAAACCGCTTAAGATGGGATGGGGAAGCATAATTTACCTGACTGCTCTTTACAATGAATTTAGGCCACAAACCTCAGTACTTGTCACCCAGTGGAAATCGCAGATAATCCCATTTCTCATAACAATTGCCAAATTACCTCGAACCATTAGTTATTTACTCGTCTGATTAGTGATGGCAGTTGTTAGGCTCATCTAGCATGTATCATAGAACATGTTTGCTAGTTAGGCACATGTCAGTCCTATCGAATTTATTTTTATTAAAAATACATCAGTAACTAAAGGGTTACATTTTTTGGTAATGTTTGTGTTTTATGCACCTCAAATATTATTCTGAGAAGAATTTCCATAAATGTCACTGGGCAGCCAAGGTTATGCAAGACATTCAAGAAAAAAAAACCAAGAACGCTTCCTGCTCCCCCCCTCCCCTTTTTGAGATGACATCAGTTAAAGGAGTACAGTGAACAGAGTAGGAGGCAGGAGTCTGTACCCTGGGCAATAAAACCAGTTGGCAGGGGTTTTCCTTATTTCCTTACTCCCTAACAGGAACAAAAGTGTGGTGCTCGTCAACAGACCTTCCTCCATCCCTAACCCTGCCCCCTCGGAGAGGCCAGGGGTTGTCAGAAACCCGCCACACACTGTACTTCATTCCTAAACAGCCCTTGGTCAAACCATATCAGAGTCCTCTATAGTATTTTTCTGACTCCACTCGTTCCTGTGAGTCTGGAAGGCAGAGCAGCCTGCTTGATTAGCAACATTGCACATTTCAATTGCACTAGTTACGGGAAACTTCCCTTAAATGTTAAGGTTCGACAGAAATTACCCTGAGGCAACAGCCCTGAAGATTTTAGTTCATCCCAGATGTGAGAAAGTTTTCTTGGGCTCCAGAATGGTGTCCTACATACCAATGTAATCCCAATATTTTATTCATTTGGCAACATCGAGGGTGATGGGGAGGCAGTGCCTCAGAGCATGTCTACTGTTAGGAAACACGGGTGTGGCTCCTGACAGCCTTTGGATGGGTGGGGGGGCGCTATCCTGTAATGAGGCCCTCCATTAACCTGTAGGGGACCCGGGTGTCCTTGGGCATGACGGTGACGCGCTTGGCGTGGATGGCACAGAGGTTGGTGTCCTTGAAGAGCCCCACCAGGTAGGCCTCGCACGCCTCCTGCAGCGCCATGACGGCCGAGCTCTGGAAGCGCAGGTCGGTCTTGAAGTCCTGCGCGATCTCGCGCACCAGCCGCTGGAACGGCAGCTTGCGGATCAGCAGCTCGGTGGACTTCTGGTAGCGCCGGATCTCGCGCAGCGCCACGGTGCCGGGCCGGTAGCAGGGCGGCTTCTTCACGCCGCCCATAGCCAGCTGCTAAAACTCAGCCAGGGAAGCTCATGTGCACCAGAAATGTCAACTTACAAAAGCTAATAGCTGCCTGTGGACGTACACTACCTACCTAAACAATTAGACGAGGTACGCAAGAGGTGTTTACAATTACTGCAAATGTCAAATGCGACAATCTACCGTACATGGCTGTTCTGGACTAGACATAGGGAGGTGGGCTTTCAACCCGGGATAGGACTTAAAGAAAACTCCGCTTTTCAAGGTTTCACCTGCTCCTCCCATTTAGCGGAGTAAATGTTAAAGTTCTTTTCCGGAAAATATAGGTGGCCCTGAAAAGAGCCTTTGAGTTTAGACAGGAGATTTGAACTGCGCATTCTGCCAGTCTTCTACTTGCCCTTGGCCTTGTGGTGGCTCTCGGTCTTCTTGGGCAGCAGCACGGCCTGGATGTTGGGCAGCACGCCGCCCTGCGCGATGGTGACGCGGCCCAGCAGCTTGTTGAGCTCCTCGTCGTTGCGGATGGCCAGCTGCAGGTGGCGCGGGATGATGCGCGTCTTCTTGTTGTCGCGCGCCGCGTTGCCCGCCAGCTCCAGGATCTCGGCCGTCAGGTACTCGAGCACGGCCGCCAGGTACACCGGCGCGCCGGCCCCGACCCGCTCCGAGTAGTTGCCCTTGCGGAGCAGGCGGTGCACGCGGCCCACCGGGAACTGCAGACCCGCCCGCGACGAGCGCGTCTTGGCCTTGGCGCGCGCCTTGCCACCTTGCTTCCCGCGACCTGACATCCTCGCCTTCAGTTTTATCGCCGCAGTAAGTTGCTAAAATGGAAGCGCCAAGTGTAGCACTTTTTATAACCCTTATTGGGCTTGAAAAAGAAAATTTTTCATTGGTTGAGATTGCAGTTCCATTTTAACCAATGGAAACGGGCAACTTGGGGATCCTTGCATTCTGATTGGGCAGCATTAACTTCTGACGTTGCCTTGAATGGCCACCAATCAGACACAGGACTGTAATTTACACTTCATTTGCATAAAGGCTTCTATATAAATGGGACCCGTTACTCTTTCTGTCATTTCTTGCTTCGCGGAGGACTCAACTTTCCCGAATCATGCCTGAGCCAGCCAAGTCGGCGCCGGCCCCGAAGAAAGGCTCCAAGAAGGCGGTGACCAAGGCGCAGAAGAAGGACGGCAAGAAGCGCAAACGCAGCCGCAAGGAGAGCTACTCGGTGTACGTGTACAAGGTGCTGAAGCAGGTGCACCCCGACACCGGCATCTCGTCTAAGGCCATGGGCATCATGAATTCGTTCGTCAACGACATCTTCGAGCGCATCGCGGGCGAGGCGTCCCGCCTGGCGCACTACAACAAGCGCTCGACCATCACGTCCAGGGAGATCCAGACGGCCGTGCGCCTGCTGCTGCCCGGGGAGCTGGCCAAGCACGCCGTGTCCGAGGGCACCAAGGCCGTCACCAAGTACACCAGCGCTAAGTAAACAGCGACTTAGCTCTGAATTGAAAACTCAAGGCTCTTTTAAGAGCCACCCATGTTCTCAAAGAGAGAGCTGCCTCTTGTTTCCATTCTGTGCTGCCTCCTGGAATTTTGCGGTAATTGGCCTGCGAGGAACGGCAATCACTGCACAATGTCACAGTTTTTCTGTCCCGGTAACTAAACGACAAAAATATGACCGGACCCTGCCAAAGGTCTGCAACTCCTTTGTGCAAAGTAACAGCTCTGAGTTTGTCACTTTCCCTTAGGTTTTCAAAAGGCCTCTTAAACTGGTTCTGATCACCATCGGGATCAAATGACGATGGAATAGCAAGCTAAACTCGAAGCAAATTATTCAAATACTCCCCAGTTTGTCGGGAGTAAAGCGTTGGGAGCGGGGGTGGCGCCGGCACTTTGAATTTGCCGCCCGTCCTCTCGGCGCCCCGATTGGCTGCCGGCAACTGGGTCGCGCCCCCGGGTCCAGCCGCGAGGAGACCCGTGGCCACTCCCGGCTGAGAGCCCCATCGGCCCGCACCCAGCATCCCCGGGAGGGAACATTCTCCCGCGGTCTGGGCTGCTTTCCATTGTCCTCGACTTGAGCGTTCTATCGTTGTGGGAATGACGTTTATAATTTTCCTCGGAATTTTCGTCAGAAAGGAATTGGGCGGATGTCATTTTCAGGCCCAGAAGTATCCTTGGTTTATTTCTGTTTAGGGCGCCGCTTTCCCTTTGCCATATATCCATAGGCTGGAAAATACTACAGGACGAAACGGCTCTATGGGGGGTGTGGGGTTGGGGCGGGGGTTGTCCAGTGAAGGCAAAGATGCTTGATGGCATTTATCCTAGACTCTCCTGAAACAAAAATCAGTATTTATTTTAAAGTTCCTTTTGTTGCTGTTTTAAATCCTATGTTTGACATTGCCTGGAACCGGTGAGGAAGAACAATCCCCATGTCAGGCTGTTGTAAATAAGAACCAGTCACCCAATTGTAAGTCTCTGGATTGTAACTTTTCAATATTTAGTGTCTCTTTGCTTCAAAGCCACGATTATATAAAGCATTTGGAAGCTTCATTAAGGTGCTGGTTTGGGGGTTAGGTAATTTTAAAAGCGTTTAATTTAAATATATTATCTAGTTTATCTAAACGGATTTTAACACAGTAGCTTGTTGTCTCAAATCCTACTCATATTTCAATGCCCACTTCAATCTGCCTGCTCTCTGAAATTGCCTTCTGTTTTCGAGCTTCTTCCAACAGTTTGTCCAGCATTTGGGAACTGCCTTCATATAGTTCCTCATATATATGGGTTTGAATTGCTACTAACTGGTTTGTTGTATGTTTCCACATAATCAATGTCCAGTCATAACAGAAAAAACAAAGAAAGTTCTTTCCTTCATCTCCATCCCACACTAATAGTAACTGAGTATCTGTAAATAAACAGAACATAAATAATTTTTGTCACTTCTGTCACATGTCACATGAGCCCCTGGCCCCTCTCCATTAATCCAGATAGTCAGATGATAATTTCCAAGCTAAATACTTTTTTTGTTGTTTGTCTTATAGGATACAGAAATCAGAATAAAAAAGAAAAGGACTTGGGGCACCTGGGTGGTTCAGTCCTTAAATGTCTGCCTTCAGCTCAGATCATGATCCCAGGGTCCTAGAATCGAGCCCCACATCAGGCTACCTGCTCAGCAGGAAGCCTGTTTCTCCCTCTCCCACTCCCCCTGCTTGTGTTGCCTCTCTCACTGTCTCTCTTTTCTGTATAATAAATAAATAAATAATCTTAAAGAAAAGAAAAAGAAAAGGACAGAGATTGAGATAGAAGATGAGCCATGGGCAATAGTCCATTCCCGATAAAAATTTGGAATGACTAAGTTTTTAAAAACTACTAAGTTGAAAAGATCCCAGCTAATTCTCCTATTACTCAGAAAATCAAACTGCTTAGGCCATAAACAAATCAGGTAAATAAATCAAATTTTCATCTTTGAGGTAATTTGTACCTTGATGGAGTCCCCTTGAAAATAAGGCAAGGTTTTTATACTTTCCTTGAAAAAGTGTTATCACTTTAACCCGTTGTTAATCAGCTTCAGAAGAATTGGTTCAAAGCTAAACTAACATGGTACATCATTGAAAAAAATACACTGTGAAATATATCACAAAATAAAAAGATATTTGTTGCTCAAAGTACTTAGGACTATTTGACAGGTCTTCCCCGGAAACCACAAACCAGAATGCCTAGAACATTGTGTTAGAACTAGCTGCTTGTATATAACCTTTTTTCCAGCTATAGCAAATGATTATATTCATTGTTCTACTGTGCACTTGTTTCTTTTTAAACTAATCGCCAACAGTTGTTAAAATCAAGGCACCCAGTCCCCAAGGGAGTTAAAAGAGCCCCATTGACAAAGTCTATGAAAAGGTCAGTGGCCCTATATCTAGACACCATGCAGCTGATCTGTTCTTCCATTATCCCTTTGGTATGTTAAAGTTAATTCCATTGTAATATAACTTTGGTTAATTTTACTTTCAAGTTTTGATAATATATGGTAAATTTCCAATTAGTAATAACTACATTTACAAACTAGTCATTGATTTGAATGACTTATCTTAAGATTTAATTTCAAAGTGTCACTTTTCTTGATATTGCCCCCAAATGTTGGAAATCAACTCTCTTTAGAGTTTGCATTGCATGAAGGCATATTTGGATTCTGCACATCAAAGTAGAGCAGAATTTTTAAATTTTAATAATAAAAAAAGGATTTCTGAAGAACTTTTCTTGCACATTACTAATACTCTTTCTACTCTTTGTCAGTGAATCTGTTCACATTTACTATGGAAACTATACTATACACTTGACATTGGGAAACCAGGTAAACATGTGGTTTGTGCTCCTACTATTACCTGCACACCATCAGATCTACAAAACTATGATGTATACATCAGCATTCGATTGTCATACAGAAGTGATATATACCAGGCCCAGCCTGAGCAAGTGCTGAAGGAAGAAAATAACTGTTAGAGCAAATAGCTCACACTGCAATTATTTCTACTTCTGAAACATAGTTGTGCTTTTTATTTTTAATAACAGGAGGAGTTTCTTATACATTGATAATTGAGAAAGACTATCTAGGTTTGAAACTAGGCCGTGGCACTTAAAATTTGCATTTACACATTGATTTCTCTAGCTTTTTTCCTCATTTAAAAAGGGGGGTAGAGTAGTGCTTCTGAAGAATGAACATTTTTAACATGCATGGAACAATGTCTCACATATGGTAAGTATTCAACTTATGGGATGTAATCCCACTGCTGACACCAATCATAGCAGCCGTTTTAGAAAGAGTAATAACAACATACACTCAGGAGCATCTGTGAAAGACAAGAGGGAGGAGAGGAGGATTGTTGCCACTGGGAAGAAGTGGGAGTATTGCATCTCATTGTTTACTTTTGCTGGAAAGAGAAATGATCTACGACATTGATCTAAAGTGATTCAGGCGTGTGATGGATTTGTCTGGTGAGTCAAAGATGTGAAGAGGACAAAAGTGGAGGTTTATTGACAAGTTTTGGGGAAAAATGAGATGAATGAACTCAAAATGGTCCCAGAGTCTAAAAATAGTGTTGGCCCATGCCAATGCCAACCAGAGGTCCATGAGGACGCTCTCAGTAATCAGGCAGAAAATACCAGCCATGTGCATGTCACTGTTTCTTTTCTCAGCGCCCTTCCTACTGCCCAAGCAGTTGGTAGCGAGGTGGCCCGGAGTAGAGGTTATATAGGAGCTCTTCAATATAGACTTAGTTCGGCAGAGCTGACCTGGATACAGACTCTGCCAAGTGTCTCATATCCTAGGACAAGTCTTCTTGGATCCATTTTGTCCTCATGAGGCAAATACAGGACTTCACTGAGATAGGCGCTCATTCTAGATTTGGTGTGTTTCACTCTCATGCCATTGCTAACAAGCTTATCTATGAACTTACTGAATACTTTACGCCTCCTATCTCACAACACTATTTTCCCCCATTTCACTACATTATAGAGAAAAGGTGAGGCAATGCAGAGAGGGCCGTGGGACTCAGTAGTCTCAGCGTGTAGTGCAGACTTCATGACGGCAGCCTCGTCAGTTACTAGAAGACTCATTGAAAGTGGTGTCTAGGAGTTTGGCAAGTTATTGGAGTCCTTTTCAGCTGGATGACGTATAGGTCCTAAAGAGTGACAAAGTGTAGCCATAATTTCTACCACTGCCAAAACACATTGGTTAAAGAACAGAGAGGCAGAAATGGAGGGGTCCCTCAGGTACAGGATTTGATCACCATCCTTGCATCTTTCTATCCTTGCATCTCAGGGCTCACTCCGTCCAGTTTATTGGATTTTTGGTTTTTTGTTTTTGGTATTCAAAGAGGAATGCCTCGGCCAGTGGACACTGAGATGACTCTATTAAATTCTATTGATTTACCAAAAGTGGTTCATTTTTTAGGTAAAGTTAAAGCAACTTTAGTTAGATTCACTAGAGGGCTTAAGAGATGTTTGGTAAAGATTTAGGTCTTTGGATTTAGGCCTTTGGAATCCTTTGTTTCCCAATCTTAAGCTTTTGTTTTCCTTCTTCCCTCTTGCACTTTCTCTTTTTAGGAGAATGGGCAGACAATGGGATTGAGACAGTTTGAGTGTTCTTTAAAAGGCTGTCATAAAAAATACACACTGAAAGCCAATGAACTTAGTCTCAGAAATCTTCAAACACAAGTTAAACTACACTAATGTAAGTTACTACAAAATTGATAAATACATAAATAAAGTTTCAATAATTCTTATTAGTCACCAATTAGTTACTTGGTGAAATGGATTTTAGATAACTGAGTTGAGAAAAACTGTCCTGTCTACCCATATTTCCTTCTGTGATATTTCACATATTTGACTATTTAATCTAATCACTGGTTTTTCTCTCCTTCTCCCTTAGTATTTTATTTAGGGTGTCCTGGTGCCATATAACCTTACAAGTTACACAATATGTAGATGGACTCACAGTAGAACGAGAAGAGTA